TTGGTGCTCTTTCGTTTGGTGAGTATATGTTAATGAGTGTTATTTCTTCTTGAAGTATTGTCCCCTTGATCATAATGTAGTGACCATTGGGGTCTCTTTTTATTTTTTTGAGTTTGAAGTCTGTTTTATCTGATATAAGTATAGCTGTTCCTGCTTTCTTTTTTGGCCCATTTGCTTGTAGGATTGTTTTCCATCCTTTGACTTTGAGCCTATTTTTATCTTTTGTAGCTAAATGTGTTTCCTGGAGACAGCAAAAGGTTGGGTTTTGTTTCTTAATCCAGGCTGCAACTCTGTGTCTTTTTATTGAAGAGTTTAGTCCATTTACATTTAGAGTTAATATTGATATGTTAGCATCTGTATTTGCCATTATGTTTGTCTTTCCTTTGATTTTATTTATTTATTCTTTTAATAACTTTTTTTTTTTTTGGTCTTCTTTCGTTGTTATTCGTCCCTCTGAGGTTCTGGCTTTAGGATTCCTTGTAGTATTTTTTGGAGTGGGGGTTTAGTCGCAATGAAATTCCGGAGTTTCTCTTTGTCTGGGAAGGTCCATATTCTTTCTTCATGGAGGAAAGAGAGCTTTGCGGGATAGAGTATTCTTGGTTGGCATCTGTTTTCTTGGAGTCTGTTGACTATGTCCCTCCACTCTCTCCTTGCCCGTAGTGTTTCTTCAGAGAAGTCTGATGTCAGCCTGATTGGTTTTCCTTTGATTGTTATCTGTTTCTTCCCTCTTGTCAGCTTCATTATTTTTTCCTTGTCCTGGATTCTTGGGAGCTTTACTATTATGTGTCTTGCTGTGTTTTTCCTTTCGTCGTGGAAGTTTGGTGTTCTTCTTGCTTCTTGTATATCAATTTTCAGCTCCTTCTTCTCATTTGGGAAGTTCTCTTCAATTATATCCATGAATATTTTCTCTGTTCCTACATCTCTCTCCTCTCCTTCTGGAATTCCTATAACTCTTATATTTCCTTTCCTCATGGAGTCAGATAGTTCCCGAAGTCTTTCTTCATTCTTTTTCCTTCGTACTTCTCTTTCCTTTTCTGTTTTGGTTCTTTTTATTTCTGTGTCTTCAAGATTACTTATTCGTTCTTCCATTTCATCTATTCTGCTTTCATTGCTTTTCCAGAGTTCTTTAGTTCCTCCATTAATTCTTTGATCTCCTGCATTTCTCTTACTTCCCTCTTTAGGGACTCAATTTCCTTCTTCTGATCTATCACTTTTTTAATCATGGCAATTTTAAATTCTCTTTCTGGAAGGCTCAGAAGTTCTTCCAAGTTGCTGTCGTTGCAATCTGGGGAGTGGTTTTCTTTTTGTGGTGTGCTTCTTTCCTGAGGAGTTGTTAGGTTGCGTGTGGTTCTTCTACTCCCTACTGTCTGTTTTCTAATTTGTCGTATGCGTTGGGACACTGTGTTGCTCGGACTGACTGACATCTTGGGTGAACTTCTCCGCTCCCCTCTGGCTCTTCCAGGAGCCATCTCTGTCTTCTGGGGGAGCTTTCTGCTGGTGTTAGGCAGTTTTTACTGAAGAAATGTCCCTGTTCTCAAATGGCGAAGCGGGATGCAGTCCCTGCGCCTCCGGTTTCAGGCACACTCTTCTGCGCACCCGGTCTGCCCCGGACGTGGGTGCCTGCTCCCTCTGTGGGCTCAGACTGCTGGTCGGAAGGGGCCTGGCGTGGAATAACTTCCCGGCTGGCCACTGGGTCCTCCAGAAACCTTCTGCCCTTTTCAAGCAGACTTAAGAAATGTCCTGTTTTATAGGGTGTTAGTGACTTTTTTTTTTCCTGGTCGCTAGGTGGCGCCAGAGATCTCTCCTATTGTCCTTGGGGGGCTGTTTTTCGCCTCCCCCCACCCCGTGGGACAGAGAACAGAGCGGGAATGGTAGGGTACACCTCAACAGCTTTGGGGTGCTGTGTCTGCCTTGTGCCCCACCGTCGTGGAGAAACCACGCCCCGAATTTTCGTGCCCCGGGTCTCAGTTCAAAGCCCTCAGGTCCAGGACGCGGGCTGTAGCCCAGTTCAGTGGCGCGGGAATGGCGCCTTTTGCACCCGGCTCCCGTGCCTGGGCGCCTGGTTCCTGCTTACTCAGGGAGGGACCTTCACCTCAGTGAGGACCTCCGTGCGTCTCCCCGCAAGCCTAGGTCGTCTCCCCGCAAGCCTAGGTCGCAGGCGCGGGGACCTGGGCAGCCGCGATCCCGGTCTGCACTTGCTTTTCAAGCGCGCCAAGCGCGCCGCGTTTCCGCGCCAGCTTACCGGCAGCCCGGGCTGTGTGCGCGTCTCCCGGGGTCTTTGTTCTTCTCTAATGGCGCCCGGAGCCGTTCGCTCACCGCCGCGGCGGATCCTGCAGGGTTCGCCTCAGCTCCCGTTCACGGGGTGTGGTGGCTGCAATAGTTCCTTTCCGCTCACAGTCCCGCTTGCTGCGTCGTTTGTTCTTGTTGGTTGTTTTGGTGTGTTGTTTCCTCCTCTCTGCCGGTCGGAGAGTGCCGCCTCTGTGGGCGGGGGAGGGGAGCAGGGTTCTGTGCTTCCCTCCCTTCTAGTCCTCTTTTATGGCCACTTTCTTCTTCGGGCAGTTCGCTGGCGTCACCCGTTTATCTTCCGTGTCCCAGTTCTCACTGGGACCTGCCGCTTTTCCTCCCTATTCACTTTTTTTAATGGGAGATCTTACTCGCAGCGTCTCCTCGCCGCCATGTTGCTCCGCCCCCTCCTAAACAAGTTATTATAGGACTTGGGCCTCAGACTTACTTTCCCAGGTAGTGCTGCAAGGAACTATGCTTTATGAGATCACCGACTGGTCCATGGAAAAACACACACAGTTCTGTAATAATCCACTAGGTGTCGCTTTCCAGAAGCCCAGCGAGTGAGCAGTGGGATGTTTGCCTGTGTGGGATGCTGTAGGTCACAGTGACACACAATTTTAAAGTCATTATAAGAATCAGAATTCTCGGAAATTGTCCTTTCTTTTTCCCCATAGGTGTGAACAAGGAGTGTCTAGGTCATGGTTGAGAGGGAAACTTCCATTTCTTGTGCACCTACTATGTGCCAGTTTTATGCTTGCTGTCTCACTAAATCTCCTAGCAAGGAAAGAGATACTATCTTCATTTTGCTAGAGAAGAAGAGGCTCCTTCTTTGGGGACCATAAAGGCAGAATTTAGGGGATACAGGATTTAGAAGAAAAAAATTAAATAAATTAATTATAACATATATTAAGGGTTAAATATATAATTTTAAATTTTATAATTAAAAATTAAATTAATTACTTTCCACTAACTTATAATGGATACTTAACTTCTCCTTTGATTCTGAATGCAGGGTACATGTCAGAGTGGTCTTAGCTCCTCCCCAGAACACAGAGACATTTGTCCCCTCATCATCACAGGTGTCCTAAAGTAGCACTGGACAACATCAGCACTCCAGAATGATCAGGGCCATTAGACTTGTTGCTGGGAACTTTTTCACTTAATACGTTGGTAAATGTGTTGTTTCTTTAATGCGTTTGTTTAAAAAACATTTTTAGCCAATTTCAGCATAATTGGCTTCCCTTATATTATCATGTATTTTATTGAATGCATTATAACACATTCTTTTAGGGTGGGGGCCATAGACTTTGCCACATTGCTAAAGAGGCCAGGGTGCAAAGCCTGAATATTCTAAAATAGAATGGTCAAAATTATCATCTAATTTTGTGAAATTAGACTTGATCCAGGTCTGAGTAATCCAGCTGTGGAGAATCCAGGAGCATTGGCTACTGGGGTAGGGTGTCTTGTGAGAGGGGCTGATTCTGGTCAAGTTCCAATGATCAACATAAAGTGGGAGGGGTGCTCAGGAGGGTTACGAGATGATTTTTATCAACATTTTAATGATATAAATTCTACAGGTGCAGCTCACAATGGACTATGTCAGCAATACGGTAGCTGGTACTAACCATAGTAACTTGGATGGATAATGCTGAGTAGAAGAAACTCGACACAAAAACAGCCATACCGTGAGGTTCTAGTTAAATTCAGGGATGATTGTCTATGAGATGATTATCTATGGAATTTGGGAATTAATTGGAAGGAGGCAACAAGGGAGCTTTATGGAGTGATGAAACATTTCATCTACAGATTGGGTGATGGTTACCCACATATTTATATATACGTTTATCAAAACTCAAATAAAAACACTTAATTTCTGTGTATTATGTTGTACGTAAATAACACCTCAATTAAAAATATTAATAAGAATTTCTATTTCTGTCTTACTGATGGAACAATGAGGAGAGAGATAAATACAGGGAATTCCTGATTGTCCAGTCCTCTTGCTGTGATGAGAAGCTGGAAGTGAAGAGGTTCATGTGACCAGTCCAGGGATTCTGTCTAGGGAACTTCTCACTCAATTGCCCCCAAATGGCTATCCACCCCACTCACATCAAATCTTCACAATGCCTCACAAGTAGAATGAGTAAGTAAATTGTGTGATAGTCACACAGAGGAACACTATTCAACAATAAGAATAAGCAATGTACAAGTATACACTACATATTATTGAATGTTTATGAGCAAAGGAATCTAGATGTGAAGGAAAACATAGTATATAATTCCACTTATATTAAGTGTAAAATAGACAAAATAATTAGAATTAAAATTAAAATAATTAAAAGAATAGTGGCTACACTTGGAGAGATAACAGAATGGGACACAAAGAGTCTCTGGGATATCGGTCATGTTCTATTTAGTGATCTGGGAACTGGTTATGTTGGTTGATTTGTGCATTTAAAAATAGTGACATGAAGCACTGAAATAGTTAGGGCTCACTCCTAAAAGCAGGGTTTAAGTTGTACAATATCGTATTCTATGTAAGTGGTACTCCCTGTGTTTGTGCTGCACTACAGTCCTGCTTGCCCTGGAAACACATCTAGCTAATGTCCCTGACACAGAGAGGCAATCTGATATTTTTACCAATCCCATGGTGCTATCTCCAGGACATTTTCCACATGCAGCAGAAGAACTACTATCTTAGAAGAACTACTTACTCAGGGTCCTGTACAGAGCCTCCCACACAGTGGAATCTCTCAGGCACAGTTTTCCAGTCTTTAGCCATTTTCACCATTGCGCCTGCATCAAGGACTCCATAGCCAAAGAGGTGATTAAACTCCAGGCCAACTCCGTTCCGCCGCCACTGATGGACCTCATCATGAAGCTGGTTCCGTTTGGAGGTGAGCACAGTCAGATGTTGCATGTCTCGCCAGGTCAGACCCAGGCTGGATACCAGTGTCACAGAGGACAAAAACAAAGGCAAGAGGAAGGGTGAGAGAGGGAGAGAGAGACATAATAACTAAGGTAGGACATAGACCCCTTGTAAGATTTTGGAATATCAGTGAATCCCCAAGTCAAGAGAGGATTGCCATATACTATTTAAAACATTACATATATCAGTTTAAACAATTTTGCTTTTCCTTACTTAAATAAATTTATTTCAAAAGCACATTCTAACACACAGTAGAATGGCTAAAATGAAAAAGATGACAATACCAAATGTTGATACAAAAATGAGGGCAACTGGAATACATGTATGTTGCTGATTGAAATGCAAATTGTTACAACCATTTTGAAAACTGACTGCATTTTCTAGTAATGTCCATATGTTTAAGCTATGGCCCAGAAATTCCATCCCACTAAAAATGTGTGCATATATTCACCAGACACATGTATTAAAATCTTTATAGGCCCTCACTGGGAAACCACTAGATGCCCATAGAGAGAATAAACAAAATTCAGGTATATTTGTAGATGTGGAATACTACATATTGATGAGAATGAGTGAACTACAGCTGCTGCAAATAGTATGGATATAGCTCACAAACAGAATGCTGACCTACAGAAAGCAGACACAAAAGAGAACATATTGCCACCAAAGCATGCTATGCTTCCTGACTCTAGAAGGACTCCCTCAGATACTTGTCCATGGTTTATTCTCATGGGGTCTATAATGGAGGGACATAAAGTAGCAGAATGAGGAACTGCTCACTTCTGAAATAAATGAGAGTATAGTCCACATCCCAGTGTAACTGGGTTTGTGACTCTGGTCAGCTATTTGCATATTATCTGAAAAGAAAATTGAGTCCCTCCCTCCTAATTTCCCCTTCTGAACAATTTTAGATTTTATGGAATATACTATCATGTAAAACAGGTATTTCATCAACCTGTTTTATTCCTATCATAGCAACTCAAGAATCATAGGTGATACCTATTCAATAATAAAAAAATTTGCAGCGTATCTATGATACAAATGTCACCACATTGGGTTCATAGGACAATTAACATGTTCTCTGTTCTCAAATATCCCATGTAATAATTGAGAAGGTAAGACATTGATATATGGAAAGATATTACATGATGAAGTGATTCCATGAATGTCTACAGAGTGTATACCATGTCTAGTCACTAATTCTGGGCACATCATAGGGAGGTCCTTGCCTTCTCAGAGCTTACAGCCTTGGGGTACACATAGACAATGCAATATTTAAAAATCCAAGGGCTGTCAAAACAGGAGGAGTTTAGGCGGAGAGAGAGTTGGCTAAGAGAGCCAACATTGGAGTCCTTGTGTTATCCCAAGGGGATAACAGCCTGGGGATGGCGGGGTGTCTCAGACTGTGGGTGTCAGAATCACATGGGGACTAGTAACAAATATGGATTCCTGGTCTCCATCCCAGTTCTCCTGAATCAGTGTCTTTGAGGGGCGGGCTTGAGGATTTACACCTAAGGCAACTCCCTAGATTCTTCTGCACACAGATGTTTGAGAACATTGGTCTAAGACGGTGGTTCTCAACCCTGCCTGTAATGTGAATGAAGTGCTAAAAAAAAAAAATAATGATGTCAGACAGGACAGAGATGTTAATTCTGCAGATACTGAACCAAGTATCTGGTTTTTCTAACATGCAGCCAAAAGTTCAAGCAAATTTGGCCCAGGAGGGTGTTTCCTAACTTCCTGGGCAGCTCTGGGGGTGCTTGTTAATACCACTGCTTTCCAGGTGCTCTTCAGGAGATTCTGAATTTATGGATCTGGGATGGACTTGGGTATCTGTTTTTAACAAACAGTTAGGGAAATGTGGGGAACTCTGGTCCAGAACATCAGCAAGGATCTCTTAGGAAGAAGCATATTAAGCCAAGGTGAGTGAATAGACAGGGAAGGTGGGGGGTTTCCTAGGAGAAAGAATGTTCTGGAAGGAAGGCTCTAGAGGCAGGAGGAGGGAAACACACAAGTGATAAACTTAAAAAGGCACAGGAAGACAAGAAGACTGAGTGTGACAGGCAGGGAGAGCCCAGAACCAAGAGACAGGAGGCATGACAGGGCTTGACCCATGTTAGAACATTGTCACCTGATCTTAGTGACAGGAAGTAAGAGCAGAGGGACACTGCATCTGATATTTATAAACATCACCAGGGAGGTTGTATTTTAGATGTGTGGCCTGGAAGGCAGGACCATGATAGTCAGATGCTGCTACAGGAATCTGACCCTGGCATGGCCATAAGAAATAAAGCTGGGGGCTTCACAAGGCCACATATGAGTAAGTCCCAGGTCAATTGTCAACAAAAATGGTTACATTTGTGCAGCTGGCAAAGAATTTATTGGCTGGATCCAGTCACGAGTAAGATCCTGTGAAGTTAGAGTAAATGATTGTTATTAGACTGGCCCTAGACCACTCAAGATAGACAGCTGACTCTTGATTCAGAACAAGCAACCAGAGATCAAACTAGAGCCCAGGGCTTCTAGGGGAGACATTCTACCTTCACTAGAAGAGGCCAGGGCTCCAAAAAGAGGTTACTCAGGACTCCCTGGGGGACATCATGCCTGACAAGGAGAGGCTGTGGCTCTTGGTAAAGAGGATCTGAAACCCAGGAAGAGACTGGCCTCGCCTGACTAAGTCAGGATACTGACCAGGGAGACTCAGGAGTCTCCTAAACCGTGAAAACCTGTTCCTGGCAGGGAATTACATTCTTAACAATTGTTTGCCTACCTATAATGGGCAAACTGTATTTGCTACAGAAAGTTGTCCTCGCCAAAACTACAGCTGGCTTACCAACTTGATGCTAAGAAAAATAAAATACAAAATATTGACTTTTTTGCGTGTGTTTCCTGTGTGTGTGTGTGATATCCCTCAACCACTGTCTTTCAGAGTTCTTTTATTTATGGTGTCAAATTTTCCTGGGCCCAATGAGCATTTTCCTCCTAGTGATCCAGACAGCAAAGGTAATTTTAAGAGAGAGAACATGCATCTTTAGAGGAACTGCAAACTAAAATCTTTTAAAGAAGTTTCAGTTTTAAGGTTGGAGGAAAGAGAAACATTGGGTGAATTCTGGGAGGCAACAGAATTTTCATTTGTCTCTTGTTGGTTATGGTTTTATCTGAACAGAGCTGTGTATTAACCTGACCAAAAAGCTTCATTTCTCTGGGTCTTGGTCTCTTCCTCTGTAAAGAGAGGTGTTTGAGTAGTGAAACTTGCAATGGTTTTCTCTCAGCTTTAAAATTCTGAGTCTATCTTCCAAACTTTGACAGGATTAGAAAATGATTTCGAAAGTCTGAATTATTTCCAGTCTGGAAAAATAATGTATTTGTAAGTCAGGCTGGCATTTTCTCACAGCCCCTGTTTGCCTAACACCTGTGAACTGTGACAGAAAATCCAGTTTACAAGATGCCTTGGGGTAGCTGTGGTGTGCAGATCCTGATCTTAAAGAAACAGAAACCTAATTTTGTGCACTGCTCTTGAGGAAGAGACAATTCATTCACAGCGGCCCACTGCCAAGGGCACAGCAAGTGGGAAGGCCCTCAGACCAGATGGCGGTTTTTCTATGTCTCACAATCAGGCCCAGGAAAGGCCTGGAGTTGGAGACCTTTTCTCTGTTTTTATTATGCTTTGATGAAAAGCTTCTCTGAAAAAACCTTAAACTCCTTAGGGTTTAAATATTGACTCTGCTATTTTCCAATCAGGTGCGCTTGGATGAGTTGCCTTTACAATCTGAACCTCAACCCTCACATCTTTAGGTGTAGATTAATGTGTGAAGAGGAACTAGACACTCAGTGGTCCTGGACACTCAGTAAAGACTTTATTATTATTAATAATAAAATCTATCTCATATATTGGGTTTTCAAATAAGTTAGAAGTGAATAGTATTGGTCACAATATTTAAAGGTAAAGGAATGTCTTTAATTTTTAAGGCATATTCAACCCCAAAATCAATATACAACCAATTAAAAATGTACATTCTAAAGACATAATATTTTTGAAGCATGCTACAATATTCTTGGAAATCACAGGTGATTTATTGATGATCTAACTTTCTATATTTGTCAAAAAGAAAGTAGATATCCAGAAGAGGAAAGTGATTGTTTATTTACTTAGTTTCTTGAAGATACTAGCTGTTGTCCTCCTTGTACCTACCTTTCCTCTTTTCTTATTGAGAAAACCTCAATTTTATTAGGAAGAGTAATGTTATTAGCTAAAAACAAAAACCAACCAACCAACCAAACAAACAAACAAAACACTGCATCTCCCAGCCTTCTTTGCGGCCTGGGGTAGTTATGTGACAGTTTTGGCCAATGAGAAATAAGTGGAAACCACTCAGCAGGACTTTTTAGAAAAGACTTGTGACTCAACTGGTAGATCTCTTTTTACCCTTTTCCTGCCTGAAATATAAAGGCAGGAAATCTGGAAAGGGCAGAAATCTGGAAAGAGCCAGATTTCCTGATTCATAATAGCACCTCCACACTAGCTCTGGCTCTTTACCTCTGTATTATCTTTCCCAATGCAGGAAAAAAAAAACAAACCAAAACAAAACATATTGCTGTTTAGCTATTGTTATTTGGATTTGCTGATTTCAATCTTGAACCAGTACAAGTACCTAATCAAAGCAGAGTCCAGATAGTCATTCCACACAACACTACTCTGATTCACGTGTTCATAGAGCCATTGCCTCACTGGATGGTCACATGCCCTGGTCCAATAGGCACAAGTTCAAAACAATCTAAGTGCCCATTGACAGATAAATGGATAAAGATGATGTATGCTAGTATATATACACAATGGAATACTACTCAGTCATAAAAAATGAAATCCTGCCACTTGTAACAACACAACTAGAGCAGGAGATGTTATGCTTAGAGAAATAATTCAGATGGGAAAAAAGCAGATACTTGATTTTACTCATATGTGGTATATAAAGAAAACAAACAGATGACCTAAATAAACAAAAATAATCTTTTAGATTATAAGATGGAAGATGGTTATCAGATAAAAGGGGAGAAAGGGAGGTAAATCAGATAAAAAGGTCAATTATATGGTGGAGGACAGAATTGGACCTTTAGTGGTAAACTTAATGTAGCGTATACACAAGGTGATTTATGATAATGAAAATTTCAAACTTATATAAGGCAATGTTACTTCAATTTAAAAAAAAGTAAAAAAAGGTGGTGGAAGTGCAAACTGGTCCAATCACTATGGAAAGCTGTCTGGAAATTCCTCAGTCTACTAAAAATGGAGCTACCATATGACCTGGCAATTGTACTCCTAGGGATCTACCCAAAGGACACAAAAACATTGATTCAAAAGAGCACCTGTACTCTTATGTTTATTGCAGCACTATTTACAATAGGTAAAACCTGGAAACAACCCAAATGCCCAAAAATAGATGACTGGATCAAGAAGATGTGGTACATATACACAATGGAATATTATTCAGTCATTAAAAAGATAAACTCATGCCATTCACAGCAACATGGATGGAGCTAGAGGGAATTATGCTCAGTGAAATAAGCCAGAAGGAAAAAGAAAAAATATCAGATGGTTTCACTTATAGAAGGAATATAGAGGAACCAAATAAGACATCAGTGTAAAAAAATAATAACAGTACAAAACACAACAAAGCAAAATTAGACAATTATAAATCAGAGACATCCTGCAGGGGAGGAGGAGGGAGACGGATCAGAGGGAGGGAGGGAGGAGCACAGGGGACTGAGGTGATGGTGCAGGGGTGAAGGAAAGTCTATGGGGACTATATCTGAGGGGGTGGGGGGAGCAAATATTGTTTAAAAATGAACAATGATGTAAAAAAATAAAAAATTAATTAATAAAAAAGATAAATAAAATTTTTTAAAAAATAAAAAAATATTGGTACAGAGTCAGGTAATATGTTTAGAAATCCTACAGTCTTGATCCACCACTTTCATTTAGATTTTGTCATTGGCAAGTGACACTTGCCAATATCCAAGGAGACTTTGAGTCAAGTCAAGGTTTAAATTGAGACCAGGAAACCCTCCTCATTTTAGAGCACTCCTGCTCTCTGTTCTCTGAGAAGTTCACATAGGCAGCAGACATCCACTGCTTGTCTGCTCCCAGTGGGAGTGAGCAAACCGACTCAGACTCCAGGGTCCACAAGCCCTGAGATGAAGAAACGAATCTTTGGGAAATGCACAGAATATGTAGGTTTTTGGCCTCTGTGCTCAACAGCCTGCTTTGATCACTGTCCATCTCTTGGTGTCCTAAAACTTCCACCTAACTTTCATTAGAAAAATTAAACTATGGCTTGGTCCAAAGAAAAGTGTCATTGCGAACTTGGGGGTTTATCTGTAAAAATTAAGTATTTTTATTTTGTTTTGTTTTTGTTTTTTGTTTTTTGCTTAAAGGCAGAGAATTAGACTCCACAATCTCTCAAAAACTTTCCTATTCTTGGAATCAGCTCTCACCTCCTTTGCAAATCAGAAAATGCATTGCATATGTAGAGAGATGGCTGCTTGGAGATTGATGCTAGAAACTCTGGTTGCCTAGCAATGGCTGACAGGGATGGGAACTCAACTCCCTTTCCCCAGGAGCCTGAATGAATCGAACTTCTCACAAATTGCTGGGTACAGCATTTGCAGACAGTTCTCTTCATAGCAAACATTTGCACTCAAACCATATGTCTGGTGCCTGAAGCCCACAGCTCATTCCTCTAACACAAGGCTGACCTCTGAATTTCCCTAAGAGAAGACAGAGTAGCAGATGGTCAGGGACATCTCTCTGCTGAGGCTCAAATCAAGGTATATCCAGTAGTAGTGATATGTGGCCTCTCTGTGTAGTGCTGAGAAAAGATGGTCTCTTCTTACCTGTAGCTTAGGTTTTCCACAAAGCTCATTTCTTGGTCTATACTGCATGACTTTGCCTATCTTCTTTCAGTATTAAAAGTGAATTAACCTGAAAAGTTAACAAATCTTGAGTGGGAGTGTCCTGTTTATCACATGGTCTGAAATACCTTGGTGATACACAGTCTGGCAAATGTTTACCTTCATTTAGCTGATTATGAGTGTTCTTGGAGTAAAACAGTCATGAATACATAGAGTATAAAGGGATGGTTTTCATAAAAAAAGAAATATCTATGTATCCCTATTTGATATCTGAGAAGTAGCTGATTTGTGCAGCTGGATGATGTGGTCTTGTGCTCTCCTGGGGATGGAATTATGTGGAATGTGTGTGTGTGTGTGAGTGAGTGTGTCTATTTCCTTGGGCTGATGGGTCATTTCGAAATGCCATCAGAGTTCATTGACCTTAACTCTTACAGACTCTCACACCTACTTGTGGAAACTTGGTATTGGGGGAGGGATGTATTATAGAGCCAGCCTTTGGCCCTGAGCTGGAAACATACTTAGCCTCTAAAGCCAGTGCAAACACGCCAGCTGCCTCGGGAGCAGCTGCAGAGGTCCCAGAATGCCTCAGAGTACAGTTGCCATACAAATCTGTGGTTGCCTAGAAAGGAAGATATTGAGTAATGAATAACAGATCAGGCAATTTTGAACCCTTAAACAATAAAGATTAGGTATTCTATATTTCTTATTTAAACTATACTTTGTTGTGAAGATTAAGATGAGCTGAGGAGAAGTTTAGCACCCATATACCTTTCCATGTTGCCATAAATTTTATTTGAGCTTCCTAGCAGCCCATGCAAAAAGGGACACACATCAACTATCATTTCAGTGTCCATAAGGTAAGAGCAATTGTTCAGAGAAGCATATCTGCTTCCAGAGGTAGAAAACATTTATTTCCTGGATCCTAAAGTGAAACAATACAGATGGGAAGTGACAAGTTACTTTTAGTGACAGTGACTTGCAATATTCCCAAAGAGAGAATAAACATGTTCAACTCAAGTCTGCTTAGAAGTATGGATCATTAAAAACAAAATGTTTCTCTATATCTAAAATTTATGGAGAGAGTCTAAGACATAGTGAACTAGGACAACTGCCATGTAAGTGAGTATTTCACAACATTGTAAAGGGAGAGAGACTGATCAGGTTTTTACAAAGAAAAAAGAATCTCACATTCAGTATTTTTGAAAGCCAGAGTTTTCATTAAAACCATACATAAACCATATGATTCTGCTTCCTCCTGTGTGTCTATAGGATCCTCAAGTGGACCTATTATTATTATTATTATTATTTAAAGATTTATTTATTTATTTATACAAGCCCTGGGTATAGTCAGAAGCGCGGGAGGGTGAGAGAATTCAACAGAGACAGAGCAGGGAACAGAACAGGCAGATAGACAGAAATACACTGCTGAGGGGAGCAGCGGGCATGGCAGGAGAGGTCTGCTGCACCATGTGGGACCCTTGCCGGTGGCTGGGGATCAAACTGGCACTGCAGACACTGTGGGCAGCTTCACAGCCCAGTGCTCAACCACTGCACCACCAGGGGAGGCCCGGGACATATTATTTGAGGAACAATGTATCAGGGAGGTTTAAAGGCATCTACCAGGAAAAATTACAATATTCAGAGGTAGCTCTACTGAGGCCCATCCCCAGCTTCAGTAGAAAGAGAGTCATAGATAAGCATAGAAGACAAGGTGACACAATTGGGACCAGGGAGTCGGACTGAGCTCCCCATACTTGTCCCCTTCTGCTCTGCTCTTCTCTCTCTCTCTCTCTTTTAAAGATTTATTTATTTATGCATATAAGAACTGGGGTACAGGCCAGAGGTGTGGGGGTGGTGAGAGAATTCACGAGAGACAGAGTGGGGAACAGAACAGGCAGACTGACTGAAATACACCGCTGAGGGGAACAGCAGGCAAGCCAGGAGAGGTCTGCTGTACCATGTGGGTTGCTCCCTGGCTGGGGATCGAACTCGTGCTGCAGTGGCTGCGGACAGATTCACAGGTTGCGGCTTAACCCTTTGCGCCCCCATGGAGGCCCATTGCTCTTCTCTCTTATGACAAAATGCTCATAGGTAGGAGGGGCTGAAGCCTCCTTCTACTTCACACGCTTGACACATGCTGAGGTCCTTCCAAAGACCCAGAGGCAGCCTAGGGTAAGGGCTGTGTCTATTGTAGATAAAGTAATCTCCTGGCTCACACACTGGCTGGTTAGCTAGGTGGAGCTCAGGCAGGAACTTGGGATGGAGCATTGTTTGGTAATGAATGTTGTGTCCCTGTTCCTGCCCTCTTCCCTTGGGGAGCAAGACGGGTGGCCAGTCAGGATGTAACTCAGCAAGACTATAGGACCACCTATTTGAGGTCTGAGGAAAGCAGATAGGTAGTGAAACATCCAGAGTGAGGTAGAGATCCAAAAATGTCCATGATGTTCTACAGTAATATATGTCAAAGGGACATGGAACATGCATCAATATACCTACTCCCTTAGGAATAAAGAGCTGCTCAGAGAAGTGCAATATATGATCAAAGTCTCCTTTTTTTCAGCATTTTGATTTTTATATCCTGGGCTTATTTTAAAATATGTTGAAAATCACTGCTCTTTCCTTAAGAAAATATACCGCGTGCCCAATTTGGGCCCCAGAATGGATTCTTGGATGCCATTTTGAAATCACTATGATAAGTAGATGGGTTCTTGGTTCAGATGGGGTGGTGGTGTGATGCCTATATTCTTAATGTTCGTTCTCTTGGTTAGTGACAGGCAGGGGCAACTTCTGGTTCAACGTGAGTTCTCATCAACACTTGTCAGCCAAAATGATGAGTGGACACAAAGACAATCTATGGGAAATCAGCTGGAAGGGCGTCCTCACAGCTCTTAATTCCAACTTTTGCCAAAACACTAAGAGGCCTGGAAGGTCATGGTTCTCCCTGGAAGGCCACGGTTCTCCCCTGAGGACATGCGCTGACTCTGGGAGGGAATGAACGAGCCCCCTTCCACTCCCCCGATGTCACGCAGTGTCCTGCGTCCCCCCTCCACCACATCCTGCGGGAGTGGCCCCACTCACCACGCCAGCCTCGGGGTTCCTTTTCCTCCCGTTGCTGAAGGTGGAGGCCAAGGTGGAGGAGCAGCTCTCGTCGTACAGGGCCGTCCTGCCGTCGTTGATGGCGGAGTTGATGGAGATGGTCCACATACTGGAGGCGTAGCCGTCGCAGTTACAATCATCGTAGCTGCCGCCGTCTCCCGAGGCCCACACGTAGATGCTGCCTTTGCCCCCTCGGCCCTGGGGGAGGACAGGGAGAAAGCCCCCAACTCTCAGGCCCATCCTTGCTCCCAAAGGGCTGCAAGATGGGGGTCCTGTCCTGCCCCGCCCTGCCCCAGAAGGTCCTGGCTGGGAACTTCTTTAGCAGCTGAAGGAAATGACCGGGTTCTGTTCTGCCTGCCTGAAAACCACATCCTTCTGGAGGGGCACGTGAGGAGGTTTTTTCCAGGAAGGCCTCAATATAAAAAGTCATTCGAATTTATAATATGAACTGGGGATAAGTGGGTAAGAGAAGCTGAAAAAAATCTCTATAAAATTTACAAATGAACTGCTTTTTGCAAAGGCAACAAAGATAGCACATGCTAATGGTAAAAAAAATCAAAGTATATGAAAAAATGGAAAAAAAAATCCCCTGGAATGCAATCATTATTATCCAATTCTTATGTGTCCTTTCAGTCATTTTTCAGAAAAATGTGGGTGTACACATAGCTAATTAAGATTATAAAAGATATTTTATATTGTTATATGTTCTCTATACGTATTTTTTTAAGATTTATATATTTATACAATAACCAGGGTACAGGCCAGATGTGCCGCAGGGTGAGAGGATTCACCAGAGACAGAGCGGGGAACAGAACAGGCAGACTGACGAAAATCACTGCTGAGGGGAGCGGCAGGCGAGACAGGAGAGGTCTGCTTTGCCATGTGAGATTCTCGCCGGCCGGAGGGGATCGAACCCGCACTGCAGAGGCTGAGGACAGCTTCACAGTGCGGCACTCAACTGCCTGCCCCACCAGGGAGGCCCTCTCTATACATTTTATATATGAAGTGGCTGTAAGTATAAAATACACATTGTACTCCAAAATACATATATCTTACAAATTTTACACACACACACACACACACACACACAGAATCATGTCATAGTGGGATCCTTTTAAACACAATGCTGTATGATATTTTACCTGTGCAAGGAAACAGCATATAAAAAGAAAATCTAATACCATCAAGCGTACATGTAACAAAATTAACTTTAAATACATAATGATATGCAGAACAGTTACTACATATGGTAATTAGCTATAAACTACAAGCTTTATCACAAATACCTAGCTAGCATTGCTCTTCAGTTTAAACCCTGTCCTTAGTGCTCAGCCTTTTCTTTTCCTGTTCTTTGTCTACTAGGAGTATCCTCTCTCTCTTCACAACTGAAGAGCAGGCACTCTTCCAGCTTCCCACCTGGGGGGATAGTAGGGCAGGGTGGGGGAAGAGGCATGCACCCACACCATATGGGAGGTGAGCAGCTGATGTACAGCTTCCACCCTCTCCACAGCAAGGCCAGGGTGGCTCTAGAATGCTCTAGGGTGAGAAGACAAGTAGAAGATACGGCTGCAAAAGCCTGTCCCTTCGTGGTCATGGGCGTTCGTGGTCTTGAACCTCTCCCCAAAAAGGATTATGTGTCCTGAGTATCACTAGTGTTAAGGCTGAGAAACTTGCTCTAAGGGTAGTGAGCTGGAAGTTGCTGGCTTTAAAGGCATAGCCTAAATCAGTCTCCAACAAATCCCCAATTTCTTAACAAGTTCATGCAGATTTTGTATTTTTCCCATGATAGAGAAATGTCACAAATCATTATCATTGACTAAGATGAAGCTCCAGCTAGAGACCATGTGCCCCCAGCACATCACCTGTATTCCAGGAGATGAAAACCCCAATTTGAGAAGCTTGGGGCTAACATGACTTAGTCCCTCCACCCTAACATGTGTAGTGAGCCAGACTAATGACCAGCCCAGTTCTTGATCCAGTAGTATTACCTGCTTGCAGGTCTGCAGAGGTGAACCTGATATACAGCCTGCCTTTTCATAAACATCCTATTATTCTAATTTTTTTCTTCAGCTCCCTTGGCATCTTAATACAACATTGACATATCCTAAAAAGTTATTGCATTTTTTTATTAAGGAACTCATATTCATTGTGAGATAATTGGAATCTAGAATATGAAGAAAAAAGTCCTTTATAATCTTCATGAATAGAAAATCATCAGTGGTATTTTGTGAATTTCTGCCAGTTTTTATGTAAATGCAAAGTTAAGATACATTGTTTAAAAATGAAATTGGGATAATAAAATATATCCATTTTTGTGACCCGGCTTAAAAGATATTTCTCACTTATTATTATATCATTAACATTTTTCCTTGTGTGATTAAATATTCCTCTACACAAGAATTTTTTATTAGTCTTATTAAATAGTGAGTCCATAATTTATTTACTCCTCTTTCTTAGACATTCATGAAAGACTGTTCTCTCTCTCTTTTCCCAAATAGAGTTCCTAAAAGAGGGAATTTGTGGTGCAATAATGTCTCATTCTTTTGAGTTACATTTTTTCTACTAGAAGTTAAGCTTATCTTTTTGCATCTTTACTGTTCATCTATGTCCTTGTTATATGAATAATTTAACAAAGCATCAACCCCCCACCAAAGATAATATTCTTTGCTTGTTTTTTCTTTCATGATATTCTGATTTGTTAGAGTTCTTCCCTTATGAAGGAACTTAATCAAATTTATGTCATTGTACTGCATATATATTTACCAATTTTTTAATTTTATATGTTGCATTTTGACTTGCAGATATTTCACCACATTATTTAAACCTATTATTTTGTCTACCAATGCATATTTTAAATACTACTTAAAGCAATGTATTGATTTACAAATACTATCTTTTGCACTCACAGTTTCTGAAATAATTTTATTCAAACTATTCACAAACATCTCTGATATGTATGTTTATTCTCCTTAGATCAGTGGTTACCTCTGAGGCACTTAGTAGTATTTCTGGACTCATTGTAGCAGTTATTGATGCTCTTTGCTAAATAGTGAGAGTTCTTGTCCAAAGCTTGGGCCCATGACAACTCCCCTTGTGGTTGGATGTGGTCTTGTGATATACAGTATTAATTCCAGGCTGAACCATTTACTGGTCAGTGCCAGAAGCTGGAGAGCTTCTTCCTTCTCTCTCTAGATTAACAATATTCCATATGTCAGTCCTGATCCTTCCGAGACTGTGATGAGCAGGGTCCTCTTCTCACCATAATGGATGTGTAGCTGAGAAAAAACTTGTGGTTGGGAGTCTCTGAACTTTGGGGGCTGTTTGATACTGCAGCATAATGTAGCCTCTCCTGACAGATACAGCTCATTATGTTCATTCCTGTTTAAGTTGTAATAGATACAGCATTTAAAAGAAACTCTGTGTAATGAAGTCCCCGACACTTTAATCCCAAGCCACAGTAGCTATTTGTATAATATTAGAGTAGTTTGCTGTTTTCACTTTTGCTGAGATGTATATTATTACTCTTGACAATTTAACTACCTACTAAACTGCTTTTTATTTTTTAGTGTAACTAAAAGCCTTTTAATTTGAAAAAATGTTAAGTACCACAAAAGTAGAGTGAATAGTATAATGAATCCCCATGTATCCATTGCTCAGTTCACAATGACCAGACTTGCAGAAAAAATTTAAGGGTTTTATGTAGTTATATTTATTGCTTTTTTTTTTTTTTTTGGTAAATAGTTTCCCTTTACGTTTGTGCTTAGAAAGCCCCTCTCTGTTACAATATTAGTGATTGAATTATATTTCCATATAGCTGTTTTATATTTTCATTGTATAGTCACTTCTTTTTTCTACCTGGAGGACCAGAGGAGGCAGTACAGTCACACAGGGGCAGTGGGTGGACAGACTTTTCTGCCCCAGGATGACTGGTTGCACCAATGGGGAGCCAGGGATTGGTACCAATATATGTTGCTTCACAAACCAATACTGAGGCAAGGATGTGGGTACAGGTAGTTAATTTGGGGAAATAGGTGATTTTAGGAAGTACCGTGAGCAATGGGGAAGCTCAAGACAAGGAGGGGAGAAAAGCCAAGTGTGAGTTAATGAGTAGGGTCCCCCTGTGGGCCACTGTGGTCATTCCCTCTGGAGTTCCCCTGGGAACCTGCCACCAGCACAGTGTCCCTGGAGTGTTACATCCATGGTCTGGCCAGTGTGTACCGGGGAGCACAGAATGTCTCCAGGTGGAGGAGCAGAGAGAGGCACGCTGGCATGCAGGGCGGGGATGCACATTGAAACCATGCTGAGGCAGCTGGGCCATCCCTGGCAGCATCTGCCAGAAGCCCCCATGGGATTGGTGGGACTTCATCAGGAGTGAGGCAGAGATATCAGGATCTCCAGGAGAGCCAAGTGAAGGATGTTGTAGCTGCCCATAATCTCTGATTAAATTCTTCCCTCTAGCTTGTGCTTAATGAAACCTGAGTCTTCCCTAATTTTAATTGTCTTCCATGTATCCACTGTGGATGTATGAGCCCTGTGCAAACCTGCCTGCTTCCTAGCAGGATCCAAGCACACCAGGGTGACTGACCTGCCTGATGTCATGGGGGTTGGTGAAGGGTTTGCATTCCCGTCCTCCCTGGGTGGGTTTTTCTGGGTCAAGATGGGTCACTGGCACCAATAAGACAAAAGGATGAGTGAGCAACTGTTTCAGGGGACCGAGAGGTTATCTGGGAAGAAGGACTTTCAGTGCTGAAACCTGGACAGTCCCTAATTCTGCAGTGCTATTGCAGCACTCTTTGCATAGCTAGACCTGGAAGCAGCCTAACTACCCATCGACACATGGCTGGGTCAACAATGTAGTATTTATACCATGGAATGCTATTCAGTCATAAGAAGGGATGAAATGCAGCCACTTTCAGAAAATGGGGGGTGTTTGGTGTGGTCATATGTAGTAAAACAAGTCAGAATGACAAAACAAAATTACTGGACATTTACATAGAAGATGATTTGATAAAATAAAATCCTTATAAAATCTAGGGAGCATTAATAAACACCATGAGGGCTCTGAAGCTAAGGTTCAAGGGATAGACAGGATGGTGATGGGGAAAAAGAATAAAACCAAAACCCAGACATTCCCCGACCTAGGCTGGCCCAGCACCCAAGAAGGATCTTCCACAGCCCTTTCTTCCACTTCTCCTTATTGGAAATGGAGGAAGGGATCATAATGGCACGGACCCTTTCAGAGACTGAACATCAGACTCCACGCTGTGCAGCCCGTGTTCAGTTGTGGACCTTCATTTGGATTCAAGGAGTAATCCTGAGTCCTCACAGGAGGCATCCGTGCCTGTCAGGGGCCCTCGCTTGCTGCCACGGTGTCAGGACCACTGCTCTGATGAAATTTCAGCAGGAGGCACCCGATTAATCATTGTCTCCTTACCCAGCTCTCTGCGCACCCCCCTTTCCCGGGTGGTGGCTTTTGAGCTACTGTCTTGCCAGTGACCCTTATGGAGTGCATTCTAGCTTGAAGATCTGGGATCTGTGCTTGTGCCCTTTGCAAGTCCCCAGAGAATACACGATGCTCTCTCATCTGTGCCTCAGAGGATTTTCTGTGGCTTTGTCTTTAAATATTCCTAAGATGGGGCCTCCGGTAACAACCCAGGATGATTAATAGGAGGTTGAGGTATAGTCATCAGAACCACAGCCACGCCAGGGTTGTCATGAGTGGCTGCATTTGCTCAAGATGTAGAAAGAAGTTCATGAATCACCTGTCACTTTCAAGGCCCTCTGGTGTTGTCTGAATGCCCCTTCTGGTTGTCAGAGTAATATAAGATACTGTGTCATGTAATAGCTGGACTTTGTTGCTATATCAATCTTTTTGCAAGGTCTACATCCTTTTCTGACCAGCAAAAGCCGCAGCTTATTGGTTCTTTATTACCCAGAGAGTGATGACTCTACATCTCAGAGTTGGATAAACTGTGAGGTTTTGCCTAAACTGCACTTTGAAATTGCAGCAGATGGCAATGGCAAAGGATATCAGCCCATATGCCTTAGGTCTTATATCATCTTGTGACTGGAATTTTCTTTTTTTTTTTCTTTAAAGATTTATTTATTTATTTATGCAAGCACTGGGTACAGTCAGAAGCACGGGAGGGTGAGAGAATTCACTAGAGCCAGAGCAGGGAGCAGAGCAGGCAGAAGGACCGAAGTACACTGCTGAGGGGAGCAGCGGGCGGCAGGAGAGGTCTGCGCGCCATGTGGGACCCTCCTCCGGTGGCCGGGGAGCAGCTGGGGATCGAACCGGTGCTGCAGAGTCTGTGGGCAGCTTCACAACCCAACGCTCAACCGCTGCGCCACCAGCGAGGCCCGTGACTGGAATTTTCAGACACCAACATAGGCATCTCCTTGTCTAAGAGCTTTCTTCCTTCGACTGAAGGCAGCTCTGTATATCTGCCCTTAGTGTATGTCCCTTGGGAACAACTTTCAGCCAATGATTTTGCCCCAGTGCACTTGCCATTAATAGAATTATTTGAGTATGTTCTATCCTAATGGGATTAAGCTCTGGTTGCTCCTATTGGAGGCTGGTTTGATAATATACCTTTTATTGGCCCCTTCTTCCCTGTCACACCTCTCTACTCACAACTGGTTTGCTTTTACCTTCCAAATCAATGACTGGAACTCAATCCTTATCTCGTGATTTGCTTTGGGGTTCCTAAACTGAGACAAATCAATTATTGGACTTATCATAATCCAGGGGTCTCCGATTATCACCTACTTTCCACATATAATGTGAAGAATACTTTAACCGTGTATTCAACATGTGGACTATAAACTAAAGAGGAAATGATTGACTAAGCAAAAGAAAAAATATTTCCTTCTTCCCTTCCTTCCTGCTTGCTCTTTGTACCTTCTCTCAAGTATTTATTGAATAAACTTGAGATATAAACTTAAGTCTCTAAGGACCCAGGTAAGTGGTTTTTTTATGTGTGAAGCAGATGTTAGACAATTGGGAGTGGTGGAGTCTGTGGCAAACAGTACAACCTGATAAAGGGCTCTTACTCTTCCTTTTCCTCTTTCTTTTTATCATTACTATGTTTCTCAAACAAATTCTATATTCAGGATGCTAAAATTTAAAGACAAGCATATGAACTGCCTTTGTGTAGTAGGTAATTATCTAACTACTTTGTTTAGGTGGAGATCACCTTTCAGAGGTAGATTTGCCTTTAGAGCAGCAAGACAACTGAAATAACTGGGAGGAAATCTTTGCTGATGTATATTACACCATCATTCACAAAAGTTTATAATACTGACCCAAAAATGTCACCTTGAAGCAAGGAAAGAATCATTCTCACAGTCTAGGGGAAAGTCAAATGAGAAGTCATGTATTTTTCATCATATGCACTTCACTTTCTGAAATATTTACATGCTGTCATCTGAAAATAAGTCATAACAATTTTCTCCTTAAGTTTTGGCTCACTTGGCAACTTTTTCAGAGCAATCACACTTGAAAGGACCTTTTCAGTTGTAGCAGGAGAGGTTACAGATAGAGAAGAGAGAAATATCCAGCCTTGAGATGTGGTGGAAAAATTCAGAAGTCCGTGGAAAATGACAGAAACCTGACTTAGGGATGCCTGACTCTCTTTTGACCTTGGGTGTCAGAAAACACTTCTCAGTGAAAAATCTTTATCTCTTGGGGAGGGGAGGGCATCTTCACAGTGTTCCCCTGGGTACCTGCTGTCACCTAGTCCTGGGCTTAGATGTGTAACCACGTCTGTCCACCTACACAGTGAATAATCCAATAAGGAAACAAGCTGTTTGTGTTAAAAGTTTCATTTGAAAAATTCCTAAGGATCCAGACATTGAAATGGGGCAACCCCTCCCCACTTCCTCCCTCTTCCCTATCCTGACACCTCTGCCCCGCCTCCTCATTGGTAAACTCCCTCTGAAAACTGCAGTGTGCCTTTCAAATGTCAGGGGTTTTTGGTGCTATCTCAGATGGACTGCCTGTCAGCTGGTCTACCTCGTGATAAAACATTACTTCAGGGCCTCCCTGGTGGCGCAGCGGGTTGAGCGCAGCCCTGTGAAGCTGTCCGCAGTCTCTGCAGTGCAGGTTTGATTCCTGGCTGACAAGGGAGATACCCACATGGCACGGCAGACCTCTCCTGCCTCGCCTGCTGCTCCTCTCAGCAGTGTCTTTGGTCTGTCTGCCTGTTCTGCTCCCCACTCTGTCTCTGGTGAATCCTTTCACCTTCCTGTGCCTCTGGCCTGTACCCCAGCTCTTGTATAAAATAAATAAATCTCAGAAAAAAAAAAAAACAACATTGCTTCAGGCCTCCCTGTACTTCCAGCCACTATAGCACAAGTTCAATCCCCGGCCAGCCAGGGAGCAACCTATATGGCTCAGCAGACCTCTCCTGACTAGCCCACTGCTCCCCTCAGCAGTATATTTCAGTACATCTGTTTATTCTGCTCCCCACTCTCTCTGGTGAATCCTCTCACTGCCCACACCTCTGGCTTTCACCCCAGTTCTTATATGTGTAAATAAATAAATCTTTAAAAAACAAAAGCAAAAAAAAAAAAAAAACCCATTACTTCATTATTTCCTAAATGGGCAGCGTTCAACTCTAGTGATTGATGTTTAGTCATTGTTATGGATGCTGTTCTCCTTTGAGGATAATTTACAAATTTCATACTATTTAGGATTTAGAGGCTTAGGTTGAATGGATATTCAAAAATTGATACAAACCCAAAAGCTGAAGAATGATTTTAGAGGCTATGGTTATAAAGAGAAGAGAGGGAAGGGGCAGCAGAAAACCCAGCCTAAAAATACCTTGCTGGTATTAACTTAGTGCTGAGCTTCCTGGCAGCCAAGGGAAAGAGCAAACCCTAATGGGCTAAAGCCACATGGCATGTTCCCCAAAAGCAGAGCCTGAGGCAGGGGTCAGGTGCCCCAGACATACTGAGGAAGAGTTCCCAGGAGAAACTTGTGATCTCGGGAGTGAAACAAGAGAGGTGATAGAAGGAAACTCCTCATGATGTGGACTTGAGAAATGTCTTACTTTGGACTGATTCCCAGGTGCGGGCATGGGAGTGCACTAGCACAGAATTTTCCTGAGAGTGCCAGGACAGAGTGGGACTTTTCTCCCCTCTCCTTTGTAGGTGCCACCTTGCAGCATGATCTCAAGGCTCCCCCTGCTCTGCCCTCCCTCAACCGTTGTCATTCACAAGCACCCCCTCCAATTAATTTGCACAGCAAACCCAATTTTGAGGTCCAGGTCTTGCAGGGCCTGAACTAATGCAGAGTATAACAGCCTCACCTCTGCCTCCTGTCCCACTTCTCACCTCTCCCCTGTGCCCCATAAGTGGACGGGCATTGGGCGGCAGGAATCACTGTACCTTGTTCACGCCGTCAGCCATGGCCTGGAGTGTGAGCTCCCTGGGCCCATCCACTGTCTTCCCATTGTCTGTGGGGCCCCAGCTGGCACTGTAGATGTCGATCAGCTGTGGCATGTGGCTGATGGAGGAGGCCTCGATGATGTCTGTCATAAAGGGCTGGTCCAGCATCCGGATGCCTGCAGACATGCAGGGAAACACTCAGCTTCGGATCTCAGTTCAGAGGAGGTGGGGTAGGAGGGCTGGGTGTCCTCCTGGGTGCCCTGGGAAGCTGTAGAATCCTGGGTCCAGCCTTGGGCGGTGTGGATTACACAAGAGGATCCACAAGGAGGGACAGCCCCTCCTCCCCCATCCTTTGGACTCCATTCATACCTCTCCTGATGTGACCACTTGAAGAAAAGTTTATTACTCAGCCTATGTTACTGGAATTCCTCATGGTGAGAGGACACCTTTGTGGAAGAGTCCCTGAAGAGTCTCTTTCTAAATGGAAGTTCACTCTGCAGGGATTGGAGATTGATTGGAACCAAGTTTTCGAGGAAAAGTAAAGCTACTAAGCATGCCATTCACAGGCACCCCCTCCAGTAAATCTGCACAGTGAACCCCATTTTGAGGTCCGTGTCTGGCATGGTGGTGGAGACAGGTGGTGGAGGAAGCAATTGATATTAAATATTTAAGGAGAAATCCTATAGGATAGAGCGCAGAGGGCACGGGGCAGAAGGAGGGACAGAGACAGTAAGTTGGTGGGGAATGTTAGGAAAAGGGGAGCTTCCCAGCTGCATTGTAGCTGAGAAGGCACTTTGGGGAGGACACAGATTTCGTTGGGTTATTCTAAAATAGATTACTAGTGGGTGTTTGATACAACCCTTCCTTTGTCTCTCTCGCTCCCAAGGCAGCTTTGTAAAAATTGTGCATCTAGTAAAGATTGTGCTACTGTTGGTTTTTTTTTTTTTTTGGTTGTTGGTATTTTTTGTGTGTGTGCTACTCTCAGATGCCTTGTAGGAGTGGCTTCTTGCGGGAAGTTGAAAGGAGCAGAGTCCTACAGCCCAGGATTGTGTGGGGAATTTGGACTGCATACAGGAGAGGACATGACCACAAGCTCCAGAGGTGGTTGACATCACCCCAACTCTCCATAAAAAACTCCTGGATTAACAGCAGAAGTCACTGAATTGGGCACTCCGTCCCTCTGTCAGTACCCTCCAAACCTCACTGTTTGGGGCCATATTGCTGTCTTCTTTTTTTTTTTTTTTTTTTTTTGCCTTTACATAAACATATGTGATTTATTTTTTTTATTTTTTATTTTTTAAATAAATTTTATTTTTATATTCCCCATACAATTGCAACCCCCTTATTTTGACCCCAATCCCTCCCCTCCCTGCCCCCACCCCCCATAGAGTGTCTCTGGTTCATAGTTTTTTGTTGATTTTGATTTTCACTTTCTTATAGTTATTCATTTTCCTGGTCCCTTATTTAAGTTTTCTAGATTCCTGCTATGAGTGAGACCATTGCTGTCTTCTTGATACACTATTTTGTGGCAATGAGCCTAGAGTTCTCATGAAGCTGACCCAAGTCTTTCTGCCCATGGGTTTTATGAAATAAAGGAGCTGGGCTGGACACAAATCCTGGTTCCTGACACTCTTTACTTGTTCCTCAGATCAAAGGACATTATTACATATGTAACACTCTCTAAATCAAATAAATCAATTTAAATAAAGACACTCAGATTCTTGCTGACTCTTGATGGACGTCGAGCTGTCTTCTCTGCTAGGTGTCTCATTCTCTCCTCATTGTCTCCTGGACTCCATAGCAAATTCTCCCAAGACTCACCCTCTCTCTAGTCTATGTGTTCAGTCTTTCTGGGTCGCTCTTTAAATCTTCCTTTAGTATCATACCTTTTTTTTTTTAAAGATTTATTAATTTTTGTGTAGAAAAATTGGGGTATAGGCGAGAGGTGCAGGGGGTGAGAGGATTCACCAGAGGTAGGGTGGGGAACAGAACAGGCAGATTGACCGAAATACACTGCTGAGGGGAGCAAGGGCGAGGCAGGAGAGGTCTGCTGTGCCATGTGTGTTGCTCCGTGGCTGGGAATTGAACTCAGGCTGTAGTGGTGATAATGCTGAGACTTAACCCCTGGCCAAAAGGGAGAGTCCCTATCACCATATTTTCAGCCTTTTACCACATTGTTTATTTGAGTGCTTCCTTCACCATCAGCCAGCAAAGTCTCTGAGACCAGGACATGCACCTGTTTTGTTCACTTTAGTGTCCCATGGTACTTGGAATTTATCTTAAGCTTGATAGATATTTGGTGAATAAACACATGAGAGCATTTGTTTAGTTGATTTTCTCCCTAACAGAAATAACAGGCCTAGAAGGACAAATAATAATAGGTCCAGATTTTCCACCCTCTAACATTAACCAATATCAAGTTATACAGAACATGCATATGCACACATATGTGTATATATGTTAAAGGGTAAGCATATATCTGTATATATAACATTTAGTTATATAAATAAAACTTGACCTATAAATCAAGTTACCATTTCTTGCCAACAGATATCCAATTATAAGTTAGCATTCTTTCCCCTTAAGAAACTCATTTAAAATAGGCACATTCCTGCACTGTTGGTGGGAGTGCAAACTGGTCCAACCACTATGGAGAGCTGTGTGGAGATTTCTGGACCTACTAAACATAGAGCTTCCATATGATCCAGCAATTCCACTTCTAGGTATTTACCCAAAGGACACAGAAACATCAATTCCAAAGAACACCTGCACTCCTGTGTTTATAGCAGCACTATTTACAATAGCTAAGCTTTGGAAACAGCCCAAATGCCAAAAAATAGATGACTGGATCAAGAAGATGTGGTACATATATACCATGGAATATTACTCAGCATTCAAAAAAGATAAACACATGCAATTTGCAGCAACATGGATGGAGCTGGAAGGGATCATGCTCAGTGAAACAAGCCAGAAAGAAAAAGAAAAATACTGGATGGTCTCACTCATAGCAGGAATCTAGAAAACTTAAATAAGGGACCAGGAAAAAGAATAACTATAAGAAAGAAAATATCAAAATCAACAAATAACTATGAACCAGAGACACTCTATGGGGGAGGGGGCGGGGAAAGGAAGGCTTGGGGTAAAAATAAGGGGGTTGTAATTGTATGGGGAATATAAAAATAAAATTTAAATTAAAAATTGTGAGGTTATCAGATGGATAATATCAAGGCAGACTTGTAAAAAAAAATAGGCACATTCTTTGTTTCTGGAAGCTTAGCTTTATTATTCATTTTATGAGGGCTAAGAAATTTAAAACTCTACCTTTGCTTCTGGGCCACCTATATTTTGCTTATTTAAAGAACTTTTTTGTGCACCTGCACCTTATACAATGTTGTAAATGTCACTACTTCAATTAAAAAAAATACTCCTTGATTAAAGCAAATTGTTCAACTAGGATGACAAGCGGCTCACAAGATAAACAGAAGTGCTGATTCTTCTTGCAAGAAGTCAAGCCCTCTTTGCAGGTGGGGAAACAACACAGAGAGCCTGATATTCACCCGCTTTCAAAGAGAAAACTCAGCCAGTCTTGGGTCTTGACCTGCCCTACTACCCAGAGGACCAGGACTGAACAGCCCACCTCAACTGAAGGTGAGAGAAACTCCCCTCTGGCCAAGGCAGCCTGCGCTGTCCCCTTGACAACTGGCTGCACTGCTGGTTGTGGTCACACAGCAGCACTTGGTGCATCAGAGGTGCCCTGTGCCCTCTCTGCAGATTTGTCCCTCTGCTTCTTTCTCTCTCCATGGCCTCCCTGGCTCCCTTGGTGCTGCGCAGAGCAGCAGAGCTGATGTCTATTAATCTTTAGGCTGTTTCAGCATCAAAGGAGGCAAGGGTGACCACAGACAGGGATCAGGACTCTCATTCATATTCAGGGGCCAGGTGCCCAATGATCTTTTAATCCTGTTAAGCTCGTGAGGAATGAGGCATGCATTAATTGAATGAGATACAGTATTACATTTTGCAAGTGATTGCACGATTAGCAGCCAAGACAGAGACTCAGGGTGACCCAAGGGATTTTAGGGAGGGCCTCTCCTCTGTCCCTGGATGCTCTAGGAGCTGGAGGAGTTAGGTGGAGAGAGAGAGAGAGAGAGAGAGAGAGAGAGAGAGAGAGAGAGAGAGAGAGAGAGAGGCATAAGGCAGACGAGGGAGCTAGACTCTGTGTGTTCACATCTCTAAAATGTTCCGGCCTAATATGATTTGATGGGGAGGTGAGGTGGGGATACCCCCACATCCCAGCCCCCACAGGCCTGAAGTCTGCATTAATGACAATGGCACTCTGTGATTGACTCCCTCCTCCCTTCTTTTAGATCCTGAGACTGTCCTCCAACCCCTGCCTGCCTGCCAGGGAATGTGGGCTAAATCCTTCCTGCCTCTGCTCCTGTTATGTACTGACACCAGGAAAGGTACATCTGCCTACAAACCCCAGTGTCGCTAATTGCCACCTTTCATGTTCATACACATTAGTCTGAAGGTTAAGGTGCAAATTCAGTTTGATCTAAGTCTGAAGGATCTGAAAACATGTTCATCCTTGTGCTAACAAGCAACTTCTATTGATTAATATATACATATATATATATATATATATATATATATATATATATATATATATTTTGTGTGTGTGTGTGGGACACTTGCCGGCAGCTGGGGATCAAACCAGCGCTGCAGAGGCTGCGGGCAGCCTCGCAGCCCAGCGCTCAACCACTGCGCCACCAGGGGAGGCCCTATTGATTAATTTAAACACTCAGATAAATGTATAAACTCCCTGAAATATGGTGAGTTTTATTGGCCAAATACAAGGAAGCAATTTTTTGCTGGTAGAGAAACTTCAGGGATTTTGTTGACAATGTTAACAGCAGTCTTTAAACTCTTTTGGAAACCTTGATTGAAGGAGATTGCGCCCCACAGCTCAAAGCTTATGGCTAGATACTCTGACTTCTAAAGTAAGGCAGGTCAGACCAATCTCCTCTTGGCCCAGCTCTATACCAAGATTGCACTGAGAAGTTTCTTGATGCCCAGGCTTGGTGCATTAAAATCCTGCCCCCCAAGGCGCTTGCTGAATCCCAAGTCTGGTTAGTGTCTCTCCCCTCATTCATGTGGGCAAACATTATGTGATATTTTC